GTGCTTCTAAAGGGAAAACGTTAAGTTCCTCACGTGTCACTTACATAAAAACTGAGGTTATAAGAGGTTTTCCAACCTGATCCTTTTGATGTCCAAGTTAATAGTCCGAAGTTTCCTAACTTGATTTCTCTGATGTCAAAGTTAATAGTCCAAAGTAAATAAATATGATCACGAGTAGTAAAAAATGATCTATGCTATAAATAAATTTTATACTTAGTTGTAGAGCGACGAAATATCCTACGAAGAGGACATCCTTAATCACCTCTAACAATCTATCTTTATCTTTTTGTACACTTACAGGAGATGATAGAAAAAAAAAAAAAAAAAAAGACAACCCACAACTATTCCTCCAAATTTTCGACGTACACACAAAGGATAAAAACTCAAGATATAGTTTTATCCATTATATTTGATTATTATCTCCATGAATGTAAAGAAAAAAAACCAAATCATGTAAATATTATATTATCTTCTCTGATCTGAGTCCGAGTCTTATCGTTGATTTCTGAATTTTCTGCTTTGGTTCGAAGGTCTTTTTCTTCTCTCGAACACGGGCTCGCTCTCAACTATTGAGGATGAGGGATGGTGGTGTTAGATTGTTTGGTCATTGTTTAAGCGGATAATTTTAAGGATAATGTTAGAATAATTAGTTTCGCCTGTGGAGAAATACCCAAAACATAAATGAACTCCACCGACACACTTCATCATCCCCATGGCGGCCGTAGTGCCTGCATGGCCCGCTACAGCTTTGAGAAGGAGACTTTTTTGGCGTCGCCACCAGTGGTTGCATGCACCAACTGCCACGAGATGAGCTCCGACAAAGAACAAGGACAGCTATTATCTGTGTTTGTATATATACAGATGGTTGCAAACGATGGGTATCAACACATGAAAAGACGAATAAAGTGATGGCTAACTTGAGCTACCCAAGTCAATCTTAGAGAAAAGTCTTTCTTCTTCTTCTTCTTCAATATTCATAAAGACCTTCAATCTTAGGTCTTTTTTGTCGTCTGCTGTAAGGTGGAAGACATGAAGAAGCATGTCACCTTTCGGACAGAGCTTCCAAGGTCACTCTGTCTAGGTAATTTATATCTTTATGGCTTCATTTTTAGATAATTTTTTAATCTAAAATATTTTAATATTTTCTCCCTCATCACATGAACAATAATATATATGATTGTGATGATATCGGTGATGTTCGGATCAACCCGATTCAATTTAAACCGAGGTGTGTAAAAAGTTCAATATGGTCGAAGGTTCAAACGCTTCCATCATGAATGAGGGAGACTCATCGACTACTAGGTGTATAAAAAATTCAATATGATCAAATGTTCAAACGCTTCTGTCATAGATGAGAGAGACTCATCGACTACGAGGTATGTAAAAAGTTTAATGTCGTCGAAGGTTCAAACACTTCCTTTATGGATGAGAGACTCGTCATAGTCGACTTATACAAACACCAAGATCTGATAGTAAACAATAATTGATCTCGATTATCATATCCAACTTTTTATAGTAGGCAAATCAAAAGATTGACCTATTATTTTGGACTACGTTTGAAATATATTTCGACATTGATTGTATTGTCACGTGTCGAGTTATCGACAGGAGTAAATATTTTTTTTTATTAATATACATAACCACGAAGAACGTGGAAAATTTTAAATGTGTTACATACACGTCTATGAAAAGAAAAAGATTGATAACGTCTTGTCGTCGGCTAGCTCATGCGGTTAGCTAGTCATTTAAAGCGTCAGATATGGATCGTCCCAACACATCTCGCCACCAATCATGGACGATGACGAAAACTATTTCTCATCTTTTCTTTGATATGTTAATTTCTATACGATCATGACTCAAAAAAAAAGAAAAGAAAAAGGAAGTGATGAGACAAGACAGATCACCTAAAGATGCCTTCATCCTCTTCCACGGGTCATCTTTGTATAGATTAAGTGATATCTCGGACTCAAGACATGCTAAGATTTCCTCTCAAGAGGCTTTCACTGTTCATCCTTACTATATTATATTAAATCTCAAAATAAAATTCTTAATTTAGTAAAGAACTCCAAGTTTTTCTTCTCCCACGACATTTCGTAATTCAATTACCGTGAGTCGTTTATGTTTTCTAAATTTATTTTGAATATTTACTAACTTGAACGTCGAAGAAACGTTAGCGAGATGAAAGCTCGGAACTTGTCCTTCTATCTCCGCCTCCACCGCCTAAAGTACTAGTAGCTAGAAGGACCACCATCAATTATTTGTGAAGAAGAGAAAAGAATGGTTCCTTGAGCTACAAGATAAGAGCAATGGCCTCGGTAGGCCACGTTCCCTCTCGTCGACTATGAGAGCGACTCTGCCTCGTGTGTCTTCGTTTTCACTACCTTATCATAAATCTAATTTTGACGTGCATTTACTCTCCACATTGATCTTTGATTCCAATTAGTTGCAACTCACCAGTGTTTTGGTAGTTGTTCATAAGTCAAGTAGTTGACGAAAGATTCCTTGTTAATGTTGAGGCATATGATTAACCCATGTGATCTCTTCATAGATCTTTTCTTAGGTCTTCACTGAAAGATTATATCTATCTATCTATATATATATAATGTAGTCTATATAAGGGGCAGCAAGTGAAGCTTATGTTAGCGGACAAGAAGACTGGCAGTAGAGGAAGCCTCACTTGGATAGGGGGGACGCGACCAGAGATGATGAAGCCGAGCTTTCTTCTCCTGTTGGCCGTAGCGATAGCTCTTGGAAGTTGTGCGAGAGGCCAAGCTGAAGGCCTGAAGAAGGGCTTCTACAAGAACAGTTGCCCTCAGGCTGAGGAAACCGTTCGGAGCATCATATGGAATCACGTCTCGAGCAACTCGGAGCTGCCGGCAAAGTTGCTGAGGCTGTTCTTCCATGACTGCTTCGTCAGGGTACGTACGAGTAAGTTTTGTTCGAGGAAAGGGAGAGGTCGGCAAATAACATGCATGCGCATTCGCATTCTCGATGACAGGGTTGTGATGCCTCCATCTTGATCGAGTCGACCTCCGACAATGTTGCCGAAAAGGACGCAGGCCCTAACCTATCGCTAGCAGGCTTCGATGTCATCGAAGAGGTGAAGACGGCATTGGAGACGGCATGCCCGGGGACGGTCTCGTGCGCAGATATAGTTGCATTGGCGGCGAGGGACTCTGTCTCCTTCCAAGTACTGTTCCTGAGCTAAAACTACAGTGGTTGTGGTCATCGATGGTGGCGCTCACGGATGCATACGTTTGCAGTTCAACAAGCTTCTGTGGAAGGTGAAGACCGGGAGGAGGGACGGCACCATCTCCCGGCGATCGGAGGCCCTCTCCGACCTCCCTTCGCCGGCCTCGAACTTCTCGGTGCTGGCCGGGCAATTCGCGAACAAAGGCCTCCACGTCAAGGATCTCGTCGTCTTGTCAGGTATAGTTGGGTCGACCATAGGCCGATCCCGTAGTAAATTCGAGTCGGCGTCACGCGTCTACTGCTTCATGCACTGTGCGAGGTAAACAACGGTTGTTGATAACGTTCGCTGTGACGAGGACGACCGCTGGCGTCGTGCAATCATACACAAGAAGCACTGTGGCATGATTCATGGCGGCCGGTGGTCGTTGGGCTGTCTCATCGACGAAACCGGGTTCCGTCGTGCAAGCAGTGCCGAGGGGAACAGCCAAAATTGTTTTGGATCTGTAGCGGCGTCGCTTGATACGACGACAGCTTGTGGGGGGGGGGCGCAACGTGGGCTCGCCGAGCGACTAGACTATGTCGACATTGTTGCTTTAACGAAGGGGAGGAGGAAGGAAGAAGAAGACGAAGGGTACTACCAATTCGTGTTGAAAACCTACTTTGACTGCAGGTGCACACACCATCGGGGTCGGGCACTGCAACCTGTTCAGCCAGAGGCTGTACAACTTCACCGGGCAGAACGCGGAGAACGACACCGACCCGTCGCTGGACCCGACCTACGCGGCGCTGTTGAAGACCAAGTGCAGGAGCCTGGCGGACAACACCACGACGGTGGAGATGGACCCCGGGAGCAGCACCGACTTCGACAACCACTACTACGCCAACCTGCAGGAGAAGAAGGGGCTGTTCGTGTCCGACGCCGCACTCCTCACGGACCAGCGGTCGGCCAAGCTGGTGGGCAAGCTGCTGCACCCGGGAGACTTCTTCGACGACTTCAAGAACTCGATAACCAGGATGGGAGCCATCGGCGTGCTCACCGGCACCGACGGGGAGATCAGGAACAAGTGTAGCGTCGTCAACTCCTGAAACCTGATGTCACTTTCTCATGAACAAGTGTAGCTGTTATCTACTCGTTGGATGTCGTAATTGATAAGATGGTTGTTTAATAACGTTCAAATGGGTCATTACACATTTCTAACTTAAATAGGAGATCAGAATTTCTATGTTACCGAAACAATACGTTGGTTGACGACAGCCTCATGCACTGAGTATACATACACTAATCGATCGATCAAAAACTTCACCTGTACAAGAAGGAATTTACCAGTAGTGTGTTTTGTTGTAACTCTACTTTTACAAACATAATAAGATTGATTGGTAGCTTACCGATGATGTACAGGAGGATTATTTTGAAGGTGATATGACAAATTACATTACCGGAGGAGGGAGGAACAATACTAGTACAACATTGCACACTAGGCAAAAGCGATGAGGTAGAAATTTCTCCTGTTTAAGGTCGGTGCTTCATATGTAAGCAAGAGAACTCCTGTCGTTAGCAGACTGTGGCCGGCCTCGAGTGGGCGTAGGCGGTCTCTGAATATTGAGCTCCTGCAAAAACATTGTATCCAAAGATGAAGGTTGGTGGGTCAATCCAAGGAACTTATTGTTTTAAGACAACCATTGTTTTATTTAGTAGACAGATAATGCTTTATCCGAAAAACAAGTGCATTATCCGAAAAACAAAAGCTGATAGAATATCAAACATGTTCTGGTAAAATGGAATAGACCGTTGTGTCCGAACTAAATTTTTCTTTTTAACTACACCTTGTGCAATTTCAGATTGTTTCTAAATCTTCTTATATCAGAAAAAGCAAGTTCTAAATAAGTAATTTATCACAAAAACAAAATAGAATATTGAACATGTTTTTAAATCTTCTTATATCAGAAAACTCTGAAATTATGTTCTATATTGAACATATCGAACATGATATCAGAGTGTTCCTCCTTTGGCCTAAATGGTATACAAGGTAAAACACAAAAGTATCATGATGGCATTATAGATAAGGACTGAAGAATAACTTCACACAAAGATGATTCATATTCATGTGATGTGACCGTTAGTTCTGACCTGCATCCATGTGTCCTCTACGGCATGCTCAGGTGAAGACTCGGGTGACTGAAGCGGTGGTGGAAGCGGATGAATCAACTTGGGAACTACCACTAACCCCCTTCCAATAACGAGTATTGCCCCAGCATTATTTGCCGTACCTGATGCAAGTTACATCGCAGTGAAAAAGCAGTATTTACGAATGCATTGTAACAGAAGGAAAGACGATGACAACATTACCACAATAATTAGTTGCTGAAAACAACGTGATTAACTGTCCCTGAGCAAACCGTTCGAAACCATCCATCACACATTCATGAGCTCTTATGATGAGCTGTAATTTGTTTCTCTTACAGAATTCAGTGACTCGGTCAGGCTGCAAGTTCAAAGGACTTCACGATTACTTCTAGGCGGCTACAAAAAGATAAAAGTAGAGCCTAAACATAATCTATCCATTCAAAACAATGTTGCTATAGGCAAGCAAGTGAATGGGGCACAGAAACAGACTGAGACAATGTATACTATCATGTGCTATGTGTATCATCACATGAATAAAATGAGAATAAAAGTAGACAGCATCCTTGAGTGCATTTTACAATTACTTGTGAATCTTGCAACCACTGTCATCAAGTCAAAATTAGCATTGTTGTACTGGCTGCACACAGATAATCTGGAGTAAGGGCCACAGTCACATGGGTTTGTCATTTATAAGTCTGTCACCTAACTTCTATGTGTCAGAACCATTTCACAAGTATCCGAGTCACAGGCAACCATGGATTGCCATGGGAGATGTTTCTTATTACCATGATTTTCTTTTCTCATCCCTTTTGCCTATAAATATACAATTGTGTTAAAATTAAGCTTATCTCTGGATGTAACAATGTAGAACTTATTCTCACTGTTCAAGTCAATGGCATGCAAATCCTCCATAATGGGAACTGGCTAAATTGTGTTCCCAAAGGCTGATGTGAAGTGTAAAGGCATAATGTAAATTTAGCAATGAGCAGTTGTTTTTGTAGTTTGGTAAGTTTGCATGAAGTCTGGTTAATACCCAGAAAAGTGAAAGGAAAAAGGAGGGAAGGCCACACTAAACATATTCATAATGTTTGAAAGTCAAAAAGCAAGACTTCGAAAAAAAAAACCAGAAAATTGCATATGTTTGCTTTAAGCTAAGACCAAATTCTCAGGCGAAGACTTCCAAACCTCTCCAAGATGGGCAAGGTAAGCACACTTCCTGGTCATCTCCACCAACAAAATAGATGAGTTCTCATTCCATGAGTTTTTAACTCCAACCAGACAGAATTCGATGGAGTCAACATATATCTATAGAACCCAGAATAAGTACCGATGAATGATAAGTTCCCAGAATACATCCAAGGTAGTATCTGATGTTTTAACTCCAGTTTCTAGGTAGTTTCTTAGCATGAAGCAACCATAATGATAGTTAAGCATGTAAAGCAATTTATAGGACATCAACTAATGATTCGTAAATTATGCATCAAGCATCACAATTTAAGAGTAACGTTGTAGTCATTCAATAAGCAAGCAGTCTCATAAAAAATGATATATAAATATACCCCAAAAGTGACCAGGCCAGGTCCCCTGGCATTTGGTCTCAAACCCTCTATGCTATCATTCTCTGTGGGATCAGACCTGAAAATTGAACGATCATCAGTATAAATTTTCAAAGGTGTGACAGATATGATGTAAAAAGGAGTTGCATAGGAATTTAAGTACCAAAGAAGGTCCATTAGAATAATAGATCCAACATCCATGGTAATGGGCCTTTCAAGCTTCTCTATCTGCTCGACAGAATTTATAGACCTCCCAATACCACCATGCATACAGATAATCTTCTTCTCTATGAGAGCAGCAAGTGGAAGGTAGTTGAAAAGTTGATTAAATCGAGTCCATGCCCATATCCCATCATTTTCCCCCTGAAAAACTATCTAATTAGCAATTTCTGATCATACAACCATGAAGGTATTTATAGTCATTTATCTTCCTACCATTCTCTCAATGCATTCAAGACGAAAACCAAAAAGAGCGTTGATGTCAGCTGCTTCATGGTTTCCTCGGATCAGATGGACATTCTCCGGATACTCTATCTGTATCCATTTGTCAAGTTTTATTGCAAAATTTAGAAAGGTGCATATGATAAGAAATTTCAAGAGCCAGAACTTACTTTCAGTGCAAGTAGCAATGTTATTGTTTCCAAGCTATGCTGACCTCGGTCCACATAATCCCCCAAAAACAGATAGTCTATGTACCTGAAATACAAAATGACTATAGATACAGAAAAGCACAAAGCCACTGCCTATTATCACAGCACAAAAAATATATAGGCAAGTATTCCGGTCTGCATGATTAAATTTCTATTAGTCAATATATGACGAGGAAAAAAGTCCCATGTCCTGCTTGATCTAGAATGTGAGTTCTCAAAAGAATTATTGAGGGATTAAAATCAAGAAATGGTCATTTTGCATGTAGTCGCTCTCCGACATAGCTAAGAGCTGTATGAAACAACTAACGTAAAGATACAGTCATCCAAGGCCACAAAAACCTAATAATTTTCAGATGGCTGACCACTTTTGCTCAAAATGATTTTATTGAACTATGCTAAATAAATAAAGCATCCATTCCCTGCATTGAAGATTTGATGGTGCCACAAACAAACTAGAGTTACTAGATAACCTGCAACACCTTCTGGTGTGCAATATGGCTTTACCACATTAAAAAAATAGCATGTCAGAGAATGACAAGAGGGAGCAAAAGGCAAAAGCTGCCTAGTGATGCAGTTTAAACACCAGCTGCATAAGCTTGGTCTTCTTGACGGTGATATAGAGAAGGTTTATCTTAATTAAAGAAATTAATGCTTTCAGTAAAGAAGCATACAGCAACATTTCCGAATCATCAATATTCACACATTAGCCAGACCACCAATAATCCATTTAAAATGCATAATTATTATTAGTTTATTATGATCAAAAACCAAATAAGCTTTCAGGATAAGATATGTAGCCGAAATCGACTAATCAAGTTCCTTCTACTCATTATGTTTTGATCATGATACCTAATTGTATTTGTTAGTCTCTTGGTGATTCAGATAATCTCTTATCAAAGAAGGCCAGCTAAATTGGTTTCCCAATCCCAAGGAAAATAAACACCCCGAGATACTGCCAGGTAAATTTTTTGTTAAATGTATAGAACTGTTTTGTTATATTTTTCATGCTTTTCCTGTCACTTTTTACCTATTCTTTTTCTTTTTCATCCTGGTCACCACCAATCTCAGCATACTAAAGATGTCATTCATTCCAAGATACCAGTCTGCATACTGACTGGAACTCTGATTGTATCAAGGTCCGCTATTCTAGTCTCAGCCTATCCTAAGATAAGAAAATTTTGAAACTAGAAAATATATTTATGTAAAAACCATGATATGACGTTTCATGTATCGGACCCGAGCTAATCCCTGGCCGGACTAGCATAGGTTTGGTATGTGCCAATGTATCGCACTTGGTACACAGATGTGCTGTGGAACTTTTTTAAGATCCGAGAATATAAGGTGTTGGGAGGCATGTGCCATGGTCCGTGCCGCCAATCTGATAGACTGCCAAACTGATACATACTTGTTCGGACAAAATGTACAACCATGATAACCACTACTAAATTTGTCATAAATTCCATCAAGGTTTTACTCAATATGTACCACTAGTTTCTAACCTTCCTTTCAGCACATATACTCTTACCTGATCTACTTGCAATACCACTTTATGAAATTAACATAATAAGCTTTTATATAATATCCTGCTTCAAACAGACCTATTTTAATGAAAATATTAACAAAAGAAAAAGAAAACAGCATATCAACAAGTCAATTTTTGAGTCTTACGTTATGTCTCCCGCAGTTGAGGGAAAACCATACTCATCAAATAGTCTCATAAGATCACCAAACTGACCATGAAGATCACCAAATACTTTAATTGGAGCTTTCAGCTGCAAGACTGTTGGTTCTTGCCTAAATATCTGCTCAGCAGCATGACAAAGTTCACCAACTTCATAGGAATCAAGAAAAAATCTTCTGGTAGCAGGGGCTTTCCAACATCTTGGCCTGAG